TTGGCAGCAGAATAGGATGACTATAGTTACCAATAATTTATTGCGTATTTCAAAATGAAGAGTGGAATTGGAATTTTCTTAGCACAAAGAAATGATAAGTGCTTGAGGTGATGGATATCGCAGTTGTCTTAATTGTTTGTACGCATTCATTTGGATTTTGTACAAGCACGATTTATGTCATTTGTGAATACAGAGAGTTTTGTTTTTTGTTCCAATGTATCTTTTTTCTATTGTGTATCTTTTTTTTTTTTCCAAATGCTTCTTGCTAGTGCCTCCAGTATAATGTTGAATAGAATCAGCCAGAATGAATATCCTTTAAGTAGATTTTTTCAGTGTTTACCCGTATGGAAATATTTATTACTAACTGTTCTTTTGCGAACTGAAAATGCAGCCATTCTTCTATAGTAGCAAAAGTGATAAAATTTCTTTTATTGGAATTTAGCACGTAATTTATTTTTAGAATATCAAAGCACAACAGATCCCAACTTGGCATTTTTCAAAACTTTGATATCTTTGCTTGTTAACTTTTTGAATTTTTTTTCTAAAGTAACTAAGCCAACATTCAATTGTCTTGGCACCCTTGTCAAAAATCAATTGGCCATAAATGCCCAATTTTGAAAGTCCCCATACAGGACTTTTAAAAACACATCTCTAAAGTATATTCCTTTCTCAAGAATATGCTTGCTAGGTATATTTGAAAGAATGAGTATAGGACATTCATTAGTCTCTACTTGTGCTTTTTAGCCAAGGCTGAGTTAATGTCTTACAGTTAGCACTTTTGAATTTTATAATTTATCATAGATACAACTGATCATCTGAAATGATCATAGTGGGCAGGGTGAGAGATGGTTGTTGTACTACTTTTGAGAATTTAATTTTATACCTGTTTGCTGAAAGATACATTTTCTTGTTTAAACTTTTTCCCTACAGAAAGCTCCAGGAATGACTTTGCTAGACTTCTTTTTTTTTTTTAATAAAAAATATTTTATTTTTAGTTTTTATTTGTGTGTGTGTATGTTGCATTTCTCACATTCTATTTGATTTTTAATTTTATTCCAATAGGTTTTTGGGGAATAGTTGGTGTTTTGTTACATGAATAAATTTCTTTTTTGGGGGGGATGGTGGACAGAGTCTTGCTCTGTTGCCCAGGCTGGAGTGCAATGACCTAGTCTTGGCTTACTGCAACCTCTACTTCTCAGGTTCAAGCAATTATCCTGCCTCAGCCTCCTGAGTAGCTGGGATACCGGCTTGCATCACCATATCTGGCTAATTTTTGTGTTTTTTAGTAGAGACGGGGTTTCACCATGTTGGTCAGGCTGGTCTCGAACACCTGACCTTGTGATCCACCTGCCTAGGCCTCCCAAAGCGCTGGGATTATAGGCGTGAGCCACCATATTCGGCCTAATAAGTTCTTTAGTGATGATTTCTGAGATTTAGTTACACCCGTCACCCAAGCAGTGTAGTCTGTACTCAATATGTATTCTTTTATCCTTCACTTCCTCTCACCCTTTCCCTTGAGTTCCCAAAGTCCATTCTATCATTCTTATGCCTTTGCATCTTCAAAACTTAGCTCCCGCTTATGAGTGAGAACACACAATGTTTGGTTTTCCATTCCTGAGTTACTTCACTTAGAATAATGGTCTTCAGTTCTGTCCAGGTTGCTGCAAATGCCATTATTTTGTTCCTTTTTATGGCTGAGTAGTATTCCATAGTGTATATGTGTGTGTGTGTGTGTGTGTGTGTGATTTTAATATCACAATTTTATTGTCCACTTGTTGACTGATGGGCATTTGGGCTGGTTCCACATTTTTGCAGTTGTGAATTGCACTTCTGTAAACATGCGTGTGCAAGTATCTTTTTTGTATAATGACTTCTTTTCTTCCAGGTAGATACCCAGTAGTGGGATTGCTGGATCAAATGGTATTTCTACTTTTAGTTCTTTAAGGAATCTCCACACTATTTTCCATAGTGGTTGTACTAGTTTACATTCCCACCAGCAGTGTAAAAGTGTTCCTTTTCACCATATCCCCGCCAATATCTATTATTAATATTTTTTTGATTTTTTTTGATTATGGCCATTCTTGCATGAGTAAGGTGGTAATCACATTGTGGTTTTGATTTGCATTTCCCTGATCATTAGTGATGTTGAGCATTTTTTCATATGTTTGTTTCAATGCCTTATTCTTCATTGAAGATTTTTTCAGCAATTAGACATTCAGTACAGAGAATAGAATTTCTTTCTTTTATGAGTGTTTCTTAAATATATGCTATTTGTGCTATACTCTGTCCTGTCAGAAACATTAAATAAGTATAAAAACATGTCTGTTTTCTGGATGCTTACAATATAATTAGGAAGATCAATTATGTGTACTTACCTTGCACTGCTGTGTATTTGTGATTCTGGATCTATGTCTTATATCCCTCACTAAACATAAGCTCCTTGATGATATTTATCTTTGTATTGATACAGTATGTATCACAGTATCTCACAGGTAGCTTGTGTTTATTATGATTTTTTAAAATTAATTGAACAATAAAACAATATAAGACTACTTACAATTAAATACTTAAGTGAATGGCATAACCAGTCAGCATTTTAATTTCAGAAGTAACAATGATCTGTGTGTTCTGGATTTATGAGGGCAAGCTTCATGCAAGAGACAATTTAGTGGGCTCATGAAGGTAAGAACTGAGCAAGGAGAGAGATGTCATAGTATTTGGTGTCATAGTATTTGGAGGGCACTGAACAGATCATATTGACTGGAAGAAAAGACTGGCTTGGGCCAGGTGTGGTGACTCATTGCTTGTAATCCCAGCACTTTGGGAGGCCGAGGTGGAATCACCTGACGTCAGGAGTTTGAGACCAGCCTGACCAACATGGAGAAGCCCTGTTTCTAATAAAAATACAAAATTAGCCAAGCATGGTGGCACATGCCAGTAATCCCAGCTGTTTGGGAGGCAGAGACAGGAGAATTGCTTGAACTGGGGAGGCGGAGGTTGTGGTGAGCTGGGATCATGCCATTGTACAGAGCAAAACTCCATCTCAAAAAAAAAACAAAACAAAACAAAACAGAAAAAACTGAAAGACTGGCTTATAGCCAAAGAGAATGATGGATAAATAGGTAGCAACATAGTATTTTGAAGACTTTAAATATCAGTTTGAAAAGTTTGCCCATACTCCATTTGATATTAGAAACTCATTTAAGTTTCTTGAGTTGGGACATTTTGGAACAAAATAGCACATTAAGAATATTTACTTGGTGATAATATATATTATGGACTGGAGGGCAGCTGGTATTAGAAGACCATTTTAAAATGGTCTTCTCAATCAAGTTGACACACTGAAGAAACTCAATCATCATCTTGATTGAGTTTCTTCAGTGTGTCAACTTTTAATAGCAGGGCTTTTTGTTTGTTTGATCTTGAGTACCTACCCTAGTGCCTTGGGCAAAGCTTAAATATTTATTCAATGAGTGAATATATGGACTAGGTGCTCTGGGCCTGGAAGGGGCTAACAGTAGGAAAAATCCATATGAGTGACATTTTGGAGGAAAAATTGAGATGACATTTTCTAAGAGTATATAGGATAAACAAAAGGTTGGAGATGACACCGAAGTTTCAGCATGGAATCAGAGAATGAGGGGAGTGAGAAAAGGTAGAGTCATGAGCATGCTTTTAGACTTGCTGAGTTTGACATTGAAATGCCTAGTACGCAGAGATTTAAGGACTCAAATGAGAACTGAAGTTTTAATATTTACACTTGGATATAATTATATAGATATTGTTTGAGCAGTAAAAAAGATTGGATAGATAAAGCTATATGTATGTGTACAAAGGCTGTGTACATGTACACAAGTATACATACTTTTATACATTTCAACTCAATGTGTGTGTTAGATTGTCAATAATCTACTTGTTAATATTAGCATAATGATAACTGATTCTTGGGATGAGCAGAGGCATAAAAGGGAGTTACAGAAGGTTTCAGAAAAGAAACAAGAATTTGCAGCATCAATTTGCTAGTGAGACTTTGTAAATTTGTCTTATGTTTCAAAACAACAGTAATACTCCCTTTATCACCTGTTGAGAACTTACTATATGCCAGACATTGCTAGGCATGTTGTCTCTTTTTATCCTCACAACAAATCTGTGACTTTAGTACTATTATATCTCCTTGTTACTGATGAAGAAACTGAAGTCTAAAGAAGTTAAAACTTGCTCAAGATCACTTGAGCTGATAAATAATGAGGAGACCTTGTGGATATAAATCTAAGGTTTTGTGAACTGTAAGCCAGAGGTTATCTCCATTATACCAAAGGTATGTATGTTTAATTTCTGCAAGGCAAGGACTATGTCTATACAGAATCAATCTTCATAAAGGCTTATTAATTAGCAGGCAGTGATTGGTTATGTTACCTGCAAAAATAATCAGCACATATTTTGGATTTGGCTGCTTCTACTTTTCTACTTGGATATGTACGTTTATTATGTACTTGGAAATAAAGCTTTTTTGATTGCTAATTGTGGATGTTAAATTAAAAAAAAGGTATCAGGCCAAGGACAGTGGCTCACACCTATAATCCCAGCACATTGGGAGGCTAAGGTGGGGGGATCACTTGAGCTCAGGAGTTTGAGATCAGCCTGGGCAACATGGTGAAATCCTGTCTCTAATAAAAATACAAAAATTAGCCGGGCATGGTGGCATGTTCTTGTAGTCCCAGCTACTTGGAAGGCAGAGATGGAGGATCGCTTGAGCCTGGGAGGTCGAGGCTGCAGTGAGTCGAGATGGCATCACTGCACCCCAGCCTGGGTGACAAAGTGAGACCCTGTCTCAAAAAAAAAAAAATCAGTTTATTTGAAGAATTAATCATCCAGAAAGTGCTTTTCAAATGTTTTTCTTAAGCTAATATAAATTTCTTTTAGAAGTTTTTCTGATACAGTCTTCAGAGTATATACTTAGAAAAGAAATAAAAAGGACCTGTCATTTTCTTTTATTTCAGGGGATATCATTTTCAATGCCCAATACCCAGAGCTGCCTCCTGATTTTATCTTTGGAGAGGATGCTGAATTCCTGCCAGACCCCTCAGCTTTGCAGGTAAGCACTGCAGGCTTGCTTGGATGATCTTTATTTGGTGAAAGAAAACAAAATTGGCTTTTGGTAATTGCTTAACAGACAGATTTGTCACATGTCTGCATTCTTTTCTGACCCCTCTTTTCCCTGTCCTGTGAAATAGATGGAATTCTTTATGTGCCAAAATAGTTAAATAAGAGAGTTTTTTCATTGCCGTTTAGTTTCAGGCTATTTTGAATTAATGAAAGTCTCTAGCATATTGGTTGAAATATGTTTACTTCATTTTAAAGAGACATGTTGAAAACATTTTCTTTGTTTTAATGTAATATTTCATGCCTGCAATCAATTTTCTAATGTTTACTAACACTTCATTACAGGGCTTGTTAGGAGAGTATTTCTTGGCTCTTCAAGAGGCTGTTTTTATATAGAAGTGAAAGTGGCAAATTTGGACTTGTATCCGCATTATCTCAGTATTACTATCAGAAGGGTAAAGACCAGATTAAACATTCTTTATTAAGCAACACCAAAAACTTTGTAGTTAAAATAAAATATTTCTGGAATTAAAGCAGAAATATTCACCAATAGGGAAAGGGTGGCAGTACTTGTTGGAGCACATGTGCTTTAGTAAAAGTTGTGTGTTTTGCATGCTGGATGGAGAAAAATGTGCCATTTTGTTTAAATGGTTCTGACCAGACAAAATGTCTCTTTTTATTTCTTCTCAAATTTGAGTTTGGTGTGATACCTATACTAGAAGAGGTTTGATTGTTGTTCAAAACCATACTCTTAGTTTTGTTTTCTAGAATTTTTTTTTATCTTGTTCAAATCTTATAATGAAAAGTTTTGACTATTTACTTTGTACTCTTGCCCCGCTTCCACCCTTTAAAGGTAACAGGAAGTAGTAACCCAAAGCTAAAGTATTGTCTTAAATATTAGAACACAGCCATAAAAATATTGTTGGCAAGAGTAAGGTGGATTCATGGTAAAGTTTCTAGTAATTTAACATGAGCTGTAATTTTTTTTTAATTAAAAAAGTCTGAATTGAATATGCCCCTTTAGATGCTATGTGTTATATATTCACCCTGTATTAAAGCTGAGAGTCTTGCCTGAAAAAAATTACACAGAGATTTCCTATTCTGTATTAAATCTGCCCAGAGGAGGGAAGCATATGCCAGATGCCAAAGATGTATTATAGGCTAAGTGCCTCAGGAATTTAAAGAAGGTGGCCAGAAAGAGCTTTGTAGTTGAGGCGAGACTTGTACTCATTCTTGAAGAATGTAACAAAAGTGGGAGGTACGACAGGAGTATTTCAGGTAGGGGAATGACATAAGCACATTGGAAGAAGCTAGGATTTGTCTAATATATTTCAGAAGGTACTGACAGGTTTGCTGAAATGTAAGTTAATATAAGGATGGGATAGACAAGGTTAGAAAGGTAAATTGGGAGACTGTGGAGCACACTGAATGCTGGGCTAGGAGCCATTGAAGGAAGTGATAAAGGGAGAATCATCTAATAGCAGTGTGGTCAGTATAATGGAATAAGGAGAGATTGAAGACCAGCACTGAGGACGGTTATAAAAATTCAGTGGAGGGAGAAAGGGCTTTTAGCTAGGGTGATGCAAGAAGAAACAGCATAATGGAAAGAATAAAAAAGTAAAGTTTACAACTTCCTTTTTTGAAATTGCATTTAAAATTCATAGCACATATCTTTAATATGGGCAAGTATCGTATGAGTGTAGAATTTAAACACTAGAAAGATCTTAAGATTCATTTTATTCTACTCTTCCATTTTAATATCGAGGAAATTGACCTCTAAGATTTACATAATTCTATGTCAGAGTCAATATTATAATGCCACTCTTAAGATGTTTAGTCCCTGAGTAAAGTTATCACAAATGTTTTTGAGAAATTAGCTGAAAAAGGACAGCCAAAAAATCAAAGCACTAGATCTAAGTGAAAGATTGCAAATCTAGGGGAATACCTTCTCTTTAGTGATAGTTCATCTACAGCCTTGGGTAGACTACCCAGGACTTCTGCATGGATCAGTGGGCTGAGCATTCCAGATAAGCAACCAGAGTGTACTCTCCACTAGCTGGGCAATGTCCAAATAGTTCTGGAGGTTGCACCTGATGTTCATTGTTGCCTGATTAAAACACTAGACAGGTTAACTACAAGGCCTGATCCCCAGCAGACGTTGCTCTGAGCGTAGCTTGCCTATGAAAGATTTTTCACTCACTCATGAACAGATTTTGGTTTAATTCTTGGATTCAGTTCAGATATTTTTTTCCCCTCGTGAAGTGCTCAGAGCTCAGAGCGTAATCACTAGTAAGCTGACTAGTCTCCATAACATTCTGAATGAAGGGGGAATGCAAATTTCATCATCCATGGAGTGGAAAACAGAATACCTAGATTTCTTGGGTTTTTCCTGAAGTTTGGAAAACTTGCACATGGGCCTGAGTATATGACCTTAGAATCTGGGAGTGTAGTCTGAAGTAGTTCCTGTGGCAAATGTGGAATTTCTTTGAAGTTTCTGGGTTTTATCTTAAAAATTCATGACAATTTTATATTTAATCTATAATATACCTGTATTTTCAAAACAAAAATATATTAAATTACAAATATTTGAGAAAAAAGGACTCTCCAGTGTGTCTCAGTTTGAGAAATATAGTTTCAGAGAATTTATGTAATATATGTCATCTTTTATTTATTCAATTTATTTAAATCAAATCATTCCCCCCTTCCCCCAAAAAAGGATTTAAAGTAGCGTAAGTAAAGGACACACATAAGGTTAATAGGAATATGTGATGTGCTGTAATCCTTCCGATGAGGCCACCTGTTTCTAAACTCAGACTCTCCATTTAGGGAGGTGAGTTTCATTAAGGAATTTGACATTTTCAAATAAATGTAAAATACTAGATCGGTATCTCATAGACACCAAAGATAAAATCTCATAAAATCATTGAGTTAGGACCTTAATAATGGTCCAGTGGTTCCCAATTCTAGATATACATTAAAATAAATTGAAAAGCCTTTTAAAAATATAGATCCCTGGACCCCACTGGACCTACTGAATTGTATTCTTTGGGGAGCCCAAGAACTTATTAAATTCTCTGGGATGTTTTTATGATTACTCTGAACTGTTACTGGGAACAACTGACTGAATCCATCTTTTATAGTAATGTTTCCAACAGAAGGCTGTTTGCCTTTGTTTAACATTATTTCCAGTGAAGTATCATTTTCCATTCTTGAAGATAGCTCAAAGGTTTTCTTAAATAACAGCTTTACTGAGACAATTTATATGCCATACAATTCACCTAAAGTGTGTAATTCACTGGTTTTTAGTATGTTCACAGAATTGTGCAACTGTCACCACAAATTTAAAACATTGTCACAATCCCAAAAAGAAACCTTAAACTTCTTAGCAGTGACTTCCCTGTCTTCCCACCTCTATCCACCACCACCCAAAGCAGCAACTAATCTGCATTTTGTCTCTATGGATTTGCCTGTTCTGGACATTTCATATCAATGGAATCATATAATATGTTGTCCTTTGTTACTGGCCTCTTTTACTTAGCGTAATGTTTTCAGTGAAACATGTATTACTGTTTTATTGCCAAATACAATTACATCACGTACATATACTACATTTTATTTATCCATTCACCAGTTGATGGATCTACAGGTCGTTGCCATGTTTTAGCTATTATAACTACTGTTGTATGGATATTTTTATTTCTCGTGAATATATATCTAGGAATGGAATTGCAGGGTCAAATGGTAACTCAATGTTTAACTTTTTGAGGAAATACCAAACTGTTTTCAAAAATGGCTGTGGCATTTTACATTCCTACCAGCAGTGTATGAGTGTTTCAGTTTCTCTGTATTCTCAGCAACACTTATTATGTCTTTTCAATTATAGCCATCCTAGTGGGTATGAAGTGGTATTGCATTGCGGTGTTGATGTGCTTTTATGATGGCTAGTGATACTGAGCATCTTTTCATGTATCGAGTGGCTATTTGTATATGTTCTTGGGAGAAATGTCTATTCAGATCCTTTGCCCATTTAAAAATTGGGTTGTCTTTTATTGTTCAATTGTAAGAGTTCTTTATTCTGAGCATGAAAATCAACAAAAGACAAAGAGTCATATCCATGAGTATTTATTGCTTGCATACTATGCACCAAACACGGTTCAGTATGGAACTTGACCTCAAGACGTCTAAATTTTAGGGAGGCGGCTGGACGCAGCGGCTCATGCCTTGCAATTCTAGCACCCTGTCTCTCAATCAATCCATCAGTAAATTTTAGGGAGGTAAGTTATATCTAAAAGCAAATACACACAGGTAGTATATAATTAAATGTTGGAATAATTGAAACAAAAGCAATTCTATGGGATGGTTAAATAGTGTTTTTTAAATACAACGTATGATGTGAGAAGAAAGAATTTCAATAAATTAAGACAGAGTCTCCATTATAATGAAAAAGGAAAATTATTGTAGGTTGGAATTATGCAATTAAAATCATCAAGAAGAAGTTAAATGATGGGTAGGTTATTCTATAGCTGTCACCCAATTGCTTCTTTAACTTAAACTTCTTCTCTTTTGCCTCTTGCTCACCCCTTTCCAGCCACAGAGGCCCCCTTGCTATTCCTCAGGCATTCTCAACACACTCCCACCTTAGATTCTTTTCATTTGCTATTGACGGTTTTTATTCACTCTACCTGTAACCCTTACTCCACTTACCTGAATGGCTTGTTCTCTCCTTTCTTGAAGTGTTGTTATATCAGAGAGGCTTTCCCTGACATCTGTATGCAAAATAGTAATACTCTCTTCAGTACACTCTCATCTTTTTCATGGTCTGTTTTCTTCAAAGCACTTATCATCATTTGATGATTTTTGGTTGCTTGTTTGTTATCTGTCTGCCAGAATGACCAACTGCCTTCATTTGCCTTGGACTGAGGAGTTTTCTGAGATGCAGAACATTCAAGGTTAAAAAAGAACAGTCCCAGGCAAACTGGGATAATGAGTCAT